AAAACTAGAAAAGCATATGGGTGGCATTAAATACACTAGACAAATAATTATGAGACACACCAAAACAGGATGATGACATGCCTTCATATGATGCGAGTACATCGTTATAGGAAGCTGACCGTTATAGGAAGCTGACATGCCTTCACATGATGCGAATACATCAATTCATGATGCTGACTCGTGATGTAAATACATTATGTAATGACATGATATGATATTACTTCGCAATATTACAGGATGCAGACTTACTACTACGTGATGCAGATACATCATCGTATGATAGACATACATTACGTGACGTAGTTAAATTGCTACGCAAAGTCGATACGTAATAACGTGTTGCAGAATTTTATTTTGTTTTCTGGGCAAAGAAGTTTATGACTCGTGCAAACAATATTAATTCAGAAATGATAGGCAGATTTTTTACCTTATTCTAAAAATCCCGTTAATTTTGCTGTATCTCAGGAACATATTTGGAAAAGCAGGGATGGGATGTCATTTTGGGGACCATATACTTTCTATAGCAGAATGCCGGGATGCTTTGGAATTCCTTGATTGGAAGGGAGAATACAAAAACCCAACTTACTTAGTGAGCCTATGATGGTTTTAATTCCAATTGCAAATGACTTCTTGCCCTCATCAACACACCTGTAATGATGGAGTAAACATGTGAGACATGTGCACAGTGACAGTTTATTTGTCATAGTACGGTGAAATTTACGCTAGATTTGAAGTGAGTTGAAAGGAATTTGTTTTCAAAATACATGTATTATACATTAAATCACTTAATCCATAAGTATTTCGTCACTAAGACAGATTACACTGGCATCAGGGCTTATTCACTGGGTTACATAATGTGAACGTACTTGCTTATATGTGATTATAACTAACTGACCTTAATAAAACCATGGTGCTTGGTAAATCAGTGCTACACTTAGCAATGGCGGTCAACATCATAATAAACATAAACGGAATAAAACGCGCACATCTCGGTTCAATACATAGTTCACTTGTAGCAAACGTAGTCCCGGGCCTCTTATTATCAATACATGTACAATCACTGTAATTCTATGAGTGGAAATGAAAAACGACAGAAACAAATTTCACTGATCAATACAAACTTGGATTTATTAGTATAAATAACTAAACATGTTCAATTCGTATATTTTGGGTAAAATCTACACTGAAGACACCTATGAACGTGAACATTGTATTTTGACCAGTAGTAACGTTGAAGGAAGAGAATATAACACTAATTGATTGATAATTTATATAAGGTACTTATACTAAATCGGAAGGTAGCGAATATGTTCAACCAACCCTAGGTCCGATCGATTGAGAACATCCTGCATAACACGGCGAATAATAACTGAGACCATTTGAACCACAGACAGGTTGGTAATTATCTAGTGTACAGTTGCAATCTTTGTTACATTCTGTGGTCAGATTACCATTTCTTCAGTGGGCAAAAAAATAAATAATGCAAAATAAAGAACAGGTGGAGATCGTATGGGACGTTGAAATGATAACTGAACGTTGGTATTCTCCTAAACATCTTTAAAACTTTTGAGCTGCGCCAACAACACTTCCTAGTGATTGTATTTCGACATTATATGCATTTTGATGCATTTTTGAGAGCTTACTTGCCTGCTTCCGACAAGATAAGGCCCTTCACAAGGTAAGAATAATGCAAGACCATTTAATACAATTAGACCACAAACGATAATTATGCAACATTTAGTCAAGCCGGTCAATTTCAGTTTCTTCCATTTGATAAAGTATCCCAAGGCAATATTCACGGGGAATTCCGGAAACAGCCACATGAATGCTACAGACAAATCAGAAAATATACATTATAGCTTACATGAAAAATTATAGTATAAAAAGATGAAAGTATAGTTGTGATCACACATGGAACATACAGGGAAAAACACTCAATATAAGCGAAAACCTGCCTATGATAAGGTTTGCGGTACTTGCACTGAAACCCAGATCTTTTTGAAAATATTTCGGTAGAAATAACACAAAACCAACAGGATGGGAGAGAGAACAACCAATTACGGTTAATATATATATAGGGTTCTTCAGAAGGCTCCACACAATACGCAGCAATTCTGAAGAAAACAAAAAACAGTGAATAAACTACGTACTATTAGAAATTTCATATTGGAGCGTCAATCGGATTAATTATTAAGGAGTGCGATAGTTTCCTCCTAGCATATAAACGTCGAGAAATGCATTAAATCATTGTTGAATGAACACCTCGAGTAGAATAATGTAGTAGAGTAAACGTGTAAACATCAATGTTGATCTATACCCGGGGTATGTACCCCTTCCTAATCTTGGCGTGTATTGTTATGTACAATTTCGAACCTTTTCCGTGAAAACACACGTTTCGTCTCTGGTATGAATCACTGTGCGACTCCAATGAACTAAGTTGATTCGTGTTGATGAACTTTTGCTCCCTTCGCATACGTTTCGGAAAACAGAAAAATGGTATAGCTATCACCGTCAAGGAGATGAAACCAGCAA